TTCCTGGAAGAGTTAAAGAAAGAGAGAAGAGTAGAAGAGGAAAAAAGTGGGAAAAGAAATGAGAGAGATGCAAGAAAATTATGAAAAGAGAATTAACAGCTTGGTAAAGGAGGCACAAAAATTCATTGAAGAAAAGAACTCCTTAGAGAGCAGAATTGGCCAAAGAGAAAAAGAGATACAAAAGGTCACTGAAAAAAAGAATTCCTTAAAAATTAGAATGGGGCCCCTTTGACCCAGCAATACCACTTCTAGGTCTATATCCCAAAGAGATCCTAGAAATGGGAAAAGGACCCATATGTACAAAAATATTTATAGCAGCTTTTTTTGTGGTGGCAAAGAACTGTAAATTGAGGGGATGCCCATCAATTGGAGAATGGCTGAATAAGTTGTGGTATATGAATGTAACAGAATACTATTGTGCTATAAGAAATTATGAGCAGGTGAACTTCAGAAAAACCTGGAAAGACCTATGTGAACTGCTGCTGAGTGAAGTGAGAAGAACCAGGAGAATATTGTATGTAGTAACAGCCACACTGTGCAATGACTGACTTCTCAGCAATGCAAAGATCTAAGACAACTCCAAAAGACTCATGATGGAGAAAGCTGTCCACATCCAGAGAAAGAACTATGGAATCTAAATGCAGATGGAAGCATACTATTTGCTTTCCTTTTCTTTTGTTGTTTTGTTTTGATTCTTCTTTCTTGTGGTTCCTCCCATTGGTTCTAATTCTTCTTTACATCATGACTAATGTGAAAATATATTTAATATGAATGTATATGTAGAGCCTATATCAGATTGCATGCCATCTTGGGGACAGAGGAGGGGAGGGAAGGGCAGAAAATTTAAAACTCACAATCTTATGGAAGTGAATATTGAAAGCTAAAAATTAATAAATGCATTGTTTTTTAAAAAATGAGAATTGGGCAAGTGGAATCTCATGATTCCATGAGACATCAAGAAACAATAAAACAAGGTCAAAAGAATAAAGAAATATAGAAGAAAATGTGAAATACCTCATTGGAAAAAACAACTGACCTGGAAAATAGATTGAGGAGAGATTGTTTAAGAATTATTAGACTACCAAAAAAGCCATAATTTTAAAAAAAGAGCCTAAATGTCATATTTCAAGAAAGTATCTAAGAAAACTGCCCTAACAGCTTAAATCCAGTGGATAAAATAGAAATGGAAAGAATCCACCTATCATCTGAAAGTGATCCCAAAATGAAAACTCTTAGCCAAATTCCAGAGCAACCACGAGAAAATATTGCAAGCAGGCAGAAAGAAATAATTCAAATATCATGGAGCCATAGACAGAATCACACAAGATTTATCAGCTTCCATGTTAAAGGAGTAGAGAGTTTAGACTATGTTATCCCAGAATGCCTAGGAATTAGGATTACAACCTAGAATAACCTACCCAGCAAAAGTGAGTATAATCCCTTCAGGGGAAGAATGGATATTTAATGAAATAGAGTACTTCTAAACATTGCTGATGAAAAGACCAAAGCTGAATAGAAAATTTGACATTCAAACATAAAACTTAAGAGAAACATAAAAAGATAATTATGAAAGAGTAATTATGAAGGACTCAAGGTTAAACTGTTTACATTCCCATATGAGAAGATGATATATGTAACTTCTAACAACTTTACCATTATTGGGACAGTTAGAAGGAGTCTACATAGAAGGTAGGGGTGTGAGTCAATTATGTTGGGATGATCTCCAAAAAAGGGGGAGGTGAGAAAGAGTGGTGAACTGGGAGAAAGGGAAAAGGAGAAATAGAATGGGGAAAATTTTCTCACATAAAAGAGATGTACAACCATTCTGGAGAAAAATCTGGAACTATGCCCAAAGGGCATATTTGCTACTAGGTCTGTACCTCAATGAAAAAGGAAAAGGACCTATATGTACAAAATATTTATAGCAGCTCTTTTTGTGGTGGCAAAGAATTCAAAATTGAGGGGATACTCATCAATTAGGGAATGAATAAGTTATGGCATATGATTGTGATAAAGTAGTATATGCTATAAGAAATGATGTGTTAGGTGGTTTCAGAAAAACATGGCAAGACCTATGTGAACTAATACAAAGTAAACTGAGAAGAACCAAAGGATTATTGTGCACAGTAACAGCAATGTTGTGATGATGATCACCTGTAAAAGACATGGTTGCTCTGATTAATACAATTCCAAAAGACTCATGAAAAAATGCTATCCACCTCCAAAGAAAGAACTGATGAATCCTGAGTTCAAATTAAAGTATAATTTTCTCACTTTTTTTTTGCAATATGGCTAATATGAAAATATGTTTTGCATGATTTGCATGTATAATTGATGTCATATTGTTTGCCCTCTATTTTAGTAGGGAAGGGAGTGCAAGGGAGGAAGAGAATTTGGAACGCAAAATTTTTTTTAAATGTTAAAAATAAGTAGATTTTTAAAATAATGTGCATTAAATTTAAAGTGTATCTTGCATATGCCCCATTCCCCGCATCCCAGATGATTTTTAAACATTTACCAGCACTCTGCTGTATGTATTGGATCTTTGTTCTTTTCTTTAACCTCCTTGGGGCTATATGCCTGCCAGTGGCTCAAAGGATATGAATAGTTCAAGTTCTTTTGGTGCAAAATCAAAATTGCAAATTGAAATAAAAAAGAATGGTTAAACCATTTCATACTTCTACCAAGAGTACATTGATATTGAGTGTCCTTATCCTTTGTCATTTTTGCCAAGTTTCTGTGTGAAATCTTACGGGGGCAGCTATGTGATACAGCGGATAGAGTACCTGGCCTAGAAGACCTGAGTAGAAATCTGGCTGCAGATACTTACTAGCTTTGTGACCCTGGGCAAGTCACTTAACCCTGTTCACCTCAGTTTATTCATCCGTAAAATGAGATAGAAAAGGAAATGTCAAACTAGTATCTCTGCCAAGAAAATCCCAAAAAGGGATCATGAAGAGTCAGACTTGACCGAAATGACTAAACATCAAGTGAAATCTTGAAATTATTTTTTAATTTACATTCCTTTAACCACTAATGATTTGGAGCATATTTTCATATGGTCACTTCCTATGTTCCAGGAACTAGGTTTATACGGAGACAAAAATGAAATAGGAGCATACATTCTACTTAAGGGCATACAATGGGTACCCAAGGGTAGCATAAGGAAAAAGAAGAAGAAAAAGAATATTAATAAGTTGGCAGGGGAGAGGTAGGAGATACCAGAAGGCATCATGGAGAAGTGGCACTGAAGCTGAGCCTTGGAGGAAGACAAGGATTCTAAGAGGCAGAGACATGAGGGTTGTAGACCTATAGCTGGTAAGCCCAAAGGAATTAAGTGATTGCCCAAGGAAGTACATTCCAGGCATGGAGAATGACTTGTTTGAATACAGAGGCAGGTGGGATGGAGTATCAGGTTTCAGGGTGAGTGGGAGCCAAATTGAAGATGGCTTTAAATGCCAGGCTAAGGAGTTTATACCCTATAGGCACTGGGGAGCTGCTGAAGGTTTTTAGCTAGAGGAGTATAATGGTCAGATCTGTACCTTAGGAAAATTATTCTGGCTGCTGTAAAGAAGATGGATTGGTTTTGTCAGTCAGTCAGTGTCTGGCAGTCAGCGTCCTGTACCTAAAAGACACACTGCAATTGTTTGTTGTATTAATAAGAATTGAGGAAACAGGAGTAACTTGCGAGAATCAACCCAGGAGATCTAAAAAGTCAAGCAAGAGTTTATTAATTGCTAATGTGTGCTTGGCACTGTGTTAAGCTTGAGATACAAGGAAAGACAAACATGGTCCCTGCTATCAGAGAACTCACAGTCTAAAGAGGGAAACAACAGGTAGGTAACTATGTACAAACATGACATATACAGGTTAAATTGGAGATAATCTTAGAAGGGAAAGGGGAAGGGAAGGGGGAGGGAGTAAGCATTTATATAGTGCCTAATATGCTCCAGTCACTGTGCTAGGCACTTTACAAAAGGGGAACTTTACAAACGGCCCAAGGACACAGGGGCCTTAAATACCATTCCCATCTCTAGCCAAGACTTTCCTGCTGGGGGAATGGGAGTGGGAACTTTACAAAAGGAAAGGCATTTTGCAGAAAGTGGGATTTTGGGTAGGACAAAGAAGCCAGGGAAGCCAAGAGATGGTGATAAGAGGGAAAGAATTTCAGGCATGGGAGACAGCCAGTGAAAATGCCTGGGGTTGGGAGATGGGGAATGTTGTGTGAAGAGCAGCAAAAAGGCCAGTGCCAACAGATCACATGGTACAGAGTCCTCTGGTGGGGAGAAAGGGAGAATGCTGGAAAGGTAGGAAGGGATCAGGTTATGAAGGGCTTTAAAAAACAAACAAAATTTTATATTAGATTCTGGAAGTAATAGGTCTTGGGGTTATCAAAGGGGAGGGAAAGTGTGAAGCACCCAGAGCTATTAACTAAGAGTGAGAGGGACAGAGGTGAGATGGAGGAAGGGAACTATAGCTAACAACTCCCAAACAAACATACATCTCAAGACAACAAATATGCATTAACTACATGCTCTGAGCAAAGATGGGAAGATCACAGGTCCAGAGCTAGAAAGAGCCTTTCAGCCAATCTCCTCCTTTTGCTGAACAAACAGATGCCTGGAGAGGGGGAAGGGACTTGTCCAAAGTTCCATAAACAGTAAGTAGCCAAGGTGAGGTGCAAAGCTAACTGAAGGGTTCTTTCCACTAAAATTGCTGCCTCTTTAAGCCCCCCACCCCTCTGCCTTCCTTCTCCCTAGCCTTGCCCTGGATCTAGACACAGGATGCCTATGAGGCAGGGCCTAGAAAAAACTCCCAGTGACTCATATGCCCCTGAAGGGACAGTGGCAGAGGTGACAGTCCTATTCCTACACCCCCACCCCACCCCACCCCCAGGGCCAGAAGGCTTCCAGAGGTCCATGCATCTCCCCACCCCTTTTCTAACTGGAGAGAGAGGAATGCTGATTGACAGAGTGGGTGCTATATAACCCAGGGCAGGATAACTCAGCTTCACACAAGTACCCTGCTGCTCTGAGTTGCCACTCCCCTTCTCCCACAGGCGTGCCACAGTCATCATCTCACCATGGATGACATCTATAAAGCAGCGGTGAGTGATTCCTTAGCATCTCTAGAGACCCCCCAGGCTTTCCCTCCACCACAATGCCCAGCCCCAAGGCTGTGCCATCTTAACTTGGGGGGGCATCCATTCAGTGGGCACACTTTCAGAGAGGGAGCATCCTCGGTTCTCCTGGACAATGGGCTCCAGGGCTGATTTTCTTAGGAAGGGGTTCAGCTGGTTGGGGAAACTGTGTCCAGTACACAGAGGAAGCCTATCCCCCTGGGACCACTCCCATAGGTTGAGTGGGGGGAGGGGGGGACTTCGCTCCAACAGCAGCACTTAGGAATAAGCAAGCATGAACATACTGGTGCCCACCCTCAGGACATTCAAGTCCAAGGTGCCCTGGAGGTAACTGCTATGTTAGAGAGAGCACTGGGTTGGAATCTGAGGTCCTGTGCTTAAATTTGGATTCAGTTACTTAGTAGTTGTATGCCTTTGGGGAAATCCCTTCCCCTTTGTAGATCTCCTCAGTTTTCTCTTCTCTAAAATGGGGAGAGATAAATCAGATGACCCCCAAGGATCCCTTTTAGCTCTAAATCTTATGATCCTACCAATGTAGCCTTTGGCCTAGAGCTCTCCAGCAGCAGGCTTCAAGGGCATCCTGTACCTCCTTTTGCTGGATTGAGCCCCTGTACCTGTAGCTTTGTATTCTGGAGGTGACCCCATTGATGTCACAGGCTCCTTCCTGTGGGTAGATGAGATGTCTCCAGTGTTGGCAGGATGGGGGGGAGGCGGGGCTGGTAACAGCACAAAAGAGGAGATGAGGGCAGAGAGGAGATGAGGGGCCAGGGATAAATGGAAGCTAAAAAAGGAAGACAAGAAATCAGGGCAGAGATGAGGGGCAGGGAGAAAATGAAGAGGCAGGAAAGATACTTGAAATCCCACTTTTGCCACTTAATTACCCATATGACCTGACCTTGGGCAAGTCACTTAACTTTCTGGGTCTCAGATTTTTCATCTGAGGCAGTTAGACTAGATAGCCTGAGAGGTCTCTTCAGTTCTAAATCGTAAGGTCCTAGAAGCATGGAGATGAAGTGGATAGAAAGGTGAAGAGGGGCCAGAAGGAAGAGGAACCTGGGAGATGATGAGGACAAAAGACAGAGCTTAGCATCAGCATAGCCACAGAGTTTGGGTGGCAGGGATGGGAGGGGGTGAGCTTAGGGGCAGAGACAAGACGTAAAAGGTTCTAAGGAGATGTCCAACTCTTACACAGCACTGAATTCTTTTAACTGGCATTAGAGACCTGGTCTGGATACAAACCCCACCCTGTTCTGCCCCCCCTTTCTCTCTGTCTTTCTCCTCCTCTCTCTCTGTCTCTCTCTCTCCTCTTTCATCCTTTCTTTCCCCTTGACTCTCTCTCTCTCTCAATTTATCTGTCTCTGTTTCCTTCTTTGTCTCTTCTGCTCATTCCTTCTCTCTTACACATATTCCTTTTCCTTCTCACCCTCCCACGTAAGCATGGGATAGGAGGCAGGCTGAGGGGACCATGAAGGGGAGACAGGAGAAACATGAACCGTACTGCCAAGCAAGGGAGCCCTTGAGCTGGTGGTTAGGGCTTCCCTCTATAGCTCTCTGCTTATAGGTGAGCAGAAGGAGTGGGAGAATCTAGGTCCTGAGTTGGTAAGCAGGGTTTGGAGTCCAAGATTTGTGGGAACAGGAAGGAACTCCATAAATATGAGGACTGAGGGCCAGGGGGGAGAGAATTGAGAGAACTGGCATTTCCCGGGTCTTTGCCCTGACAGGATTGGCTTGAGGGAGTCAAAGTATCCCAGATTTAGCAAATAGGGAGGTGTAAGGAGAGAGAGCCCAAGGACCCAGGGGTCTTAAATGCCATTCCCAGCTCTGGCCATGACTTTCCTGCTGGGGGAATGGGAGTGGGAACTGAACCATCCTTCTGGCCCTCTCCTAGGTAAGCTGGAAGCAGAGTCCCTGGAAACCCCAAACTATGCCTCTCCCTAACCCTCTCCCTCCTTCTCCTTTGGGGGTACAAGACAGATCCCTCACAATTTACCTGCCCCAGGATGGACTGCAGCTAAGGTCCCTCAGTACATCTCAGCTCCAGCCAGGGAAGATACTCAGTGGGGGTGGACTGGGGAGGGGAGAGGAGTACAGAGCATGTTGCCTAGGCCCTATTAAAGGCCCTCCCCTCTGTCCACAGTGACCATCCCTGCTGAGACATAGCCCTCAGGCAAACCACTGGGGTCATGCCAGGCTGGAGATCAGGGTCTGTAGGGTGTCCTGGAAAGGGGAGCCAGTCCCTTCCACCCCATGCCCATAAAAGGCTCCAGGGCACTCTGAGCTAATTTTAGCTCTGTAGGCGCCACTCGGACAAGTGTGCAGATAACAGCCCTCCCTCACATGCCAGAGCCCCTAGCTTCAGGAAACAATCACCAGGTTTAGCTTTGTCCACTGTTAAAAATAGTCTCTGTCACTACCCCAGGGTTTGGTTTCAGGGCTTGGGGGGGAAGGGTTGGCAAGGGGGAGGGGGAGTCAGACTCAGTTACCTCTCCCCTCCCTCCAGCCCCTGACCAGGCTGGCCTCTGCTGTCGGAGACGATCTGGTTTTATTGTCCCCACAATAAGAGGTCGGGCAGCTGCCTGGCGGGTGGTAGGAGGCAGGTGGGGGTAGGGGTGGGGGTGGGGAGAGTATAGCTTGGATTTCACCAGGACATGGCCTGGCTGGGAGGGCAGGGGGCCAGAGGACTATTGTTACTCATCCACTGTCTGGGCCAGGCCAGGAGGGGTGACCTTGATTAAAGGACCTTCCCTCTGCAAGGCCTGACCAACCCATGGGTGGGGATGGTAAGAAGGTCTGGGTTCATTCCCAGCTCCCCCTTTTCCTCAGGTGGAACAGCTGACGGAAGAACAGAAAAATGGTGAGTGGCCCCTTCCCTGTTCTCCCTGCCCCCTGAGAGAGTGGTTGCACTTGCAGGTTCTGTTAAGTGAGAAAATCCATGATGACAAAAAACTCCTATAGGTTCCATAATGCTTTTAAAAGAACTTGAATTTGATCAGTCACAACAACAACTAGAAACAGTTGACAAATAATAACAGAGACACAGCACGAATTTGGACTTGGGGACCCTTTGCAATAACTCTGAGCAACCTCAATCAATCATTCAGTCAAGAAGCATTTACTAAGAACTATTAGCTGGGCACCAAGTAGGCACTTAGTAAATCACCTCTGCCCGTAACAAGCGGGCAGACAATGTATACACACATATATATAGATACAAAATGTATGAATTTTCGTTGGTGTTCAGTTGTGTCTGACTCTTCATGACTGTAGTTGGGGTGTTCTTGGTAAAGATACTGGAGCGGTTTGCCATTTCTTTCTCCAGTTCATTTTACAGATGAGGAAATTGAGGCAAACAAGGTTAAGTGACTTATCCAAGGTCACATAGCTAGGAAGTGTTTGGGGTTGGATTTGAACCCAGATCTTCCTTACTGCAGGCGGGGCTGCCCTGTCCACAATAATTACAAAGTGACTGAGGGGGGGAAGGCACTAGTAGCTGGGGGAGAAGAGAGCTGCTGCTAAGGAAAGACCTCAGGGTAGCATTTTGAGCTGAGCTTTGAGGTGAGGAGGGAATACATTTCAGGTGTGGAGGCACAGCCCATACAAAGGTACAGAGATGAGAGAAGGAAGGCCACATGTGAGAAATAGCCAAAAGGTCAGTTTGACTGGACCACAGAGTGTGTGAAGGGGATTAATATATAATAAGCCCAGAAAGATAACTTGGGTCCATGGTCCACCAGTTGGGGACCAATGAACTCTAAATGATCCTCTAAGGTCCCATCTAGCTCTAAATTTTATCGTTCGTTCTAGGGTCAGCTAGGTGGTGCAGTGGATACAGCACCGGCTCTGGGGTCAGGAGGACCTGAGTTCAAATCTCACCTCAAACATATAACACTTACTAGCTGTGTGTCTCTGGGCAAGTCACTTACCCCAATTGCCACACCCGCAAAAAAAAAAGTAAATAAATCTCATTATTCTGTCACCAGCTAGATGACCTTGGGCTAGTCCTTTTCTTTCTCTGGGCCTCAGTTTCCCCCTCTATATTAAGTGGTTGGCTGTCTCTGTCCCTGAGGTTGAATATATCGTGATTTTCTGAGACCATCCCTTGCTCCCCTGCCCCTCCCCTCTCCCCAATGCAGAGTTCAAGGCTGCCTTTGACATCTTCGTTTTGGGTGCTGAAGATGGCTGTATCAGCACCAAGGAGCTGGGCAAGGTGATGCGTATGTTAGGCCAGAACCCCACTCCCGAGGAGCTGCAAGAGAGATGATTGATGAGGTGGATGAGGATGGTAAGGCCCTCTCCCTATCCCTTGGGCCTCCATTTGAAGTGAGAAGGTTATATGAAGACAGTGGGGGCTCCCCTTCCCTAGTACTCTGATGGGTGACAGGAAAGGTGGGATAGCTGGAAGTGCTGAGAATGCCTTCTATCCTCATATTCTACCATCCCCTGATGGTCACGTAGCCCCTTATCCTCCTGTGTGCCCTGACATAAGGCTGTTAGAATTAGCGGCCTAGGAGTCAAGAAAGGCAAGAGAGTCTTGTCTCAAGAAGGCCAGTGATGCGAATGAAGCAGTAATCATGGAAAGAGGCTTTGATAGGGCCAGGTCCTGGTTCTGCCTGACTCTGAGTAAAGATGAGCCAAGTTCCTAATTCTTTTGGGGTTTTTCTATGTGTAAAAATGAAAGTTGCAGTCAGAGAATTTGGATTCAAATCATGACTCTTTCGTTTATTAATGTGATTGTGGGCAATATAATTCCCTTCCCTAGGACTCAGTTTCTCCAACTGAAAATAGGGGCAGTAGACTAAATGATGTCTAAGTTTCCTGCCAGCTACTGCATGACAGAACTGTAAGCCCTTGAGGCTGAGTATTCAGGAATTCAGGCTTCTCTTAACCTCTTACCCACTAAAAGACATATTTTCCAGGGAGCCCCAGCCCTGGCTCCCATGTCATCAAGGAAGGGGCCTTTGGGCAATCCTTCCAGAGTGACCACAGCTTCCCACTGACTTCCCATACCCTAGGCAGTGGCACAGTGGATTTTGATGAGTTCCTGGTCATGATGGTTCGATGTATGAAGGATGACAGCAAAGGGAAATCAGAGGAGGAGCTGTCTGACCTCTTCCGAATGTTTGACAAGTGAGTGTGCTTGCCCAGGCGGAAGGCTGGCTGGTGATGTCCAGTGCTTCCTGCCTCTACCTCTTTGGCTGAGGTGGGTGAGGTCCCCTGGTAAGGCAGTAGGGGGATGGATGGAGAGGAGTCCATCGTTAAGTGTTCTTCACTCTATCCTTTTGATACAGGAATGCAGATGGTTACATTGACTTGGAGGAGCTAAAGATTATGCTTCAGGCCACTGGGGAGACCATCACTGAGGATGACATCGAGGAACTTATGAAGGACGGGGACAAGAACAATGACGGCAGGATTGACTATGATGGTGAGGAGCCGCAGCACCCAGGCCTTTCCTCTCTCAGGGACTGCTATGCTCAGCCTCAAAGAGGGAGCCATCCCAACCATGAGTCCCATGGGCCATTTCCAAACCAGGATTTCCTCACACCCCAAATTGAACCTGTTCCCTAACCTTCTTCCTTCCCCCTCCCCTCCCCATTTCCAACATCCAGACTCTCATTAGCCCTGCCTTCTCCTCTGACTGGCCCTCTCTAACCCATTCTCCTTTTTCTTCTCTTTGGGCAGAGTTCTTGGAATTCATGAAGGGGGTGGAATAGACAGACACTGATGGAGCCATGTACATGCACCCTTCCCTTGCTTTTCTCCCCTCCCCCATCTGGCCTGGCACCTGGCACACCTGTGAGCACAAGGTCAGTGGCCAGGCCAGCCAGAGGAACTGTGGGATAGTGGGCTCTCCATGGTGCTGCCCAGGAATGGAGAAACCAACAGGCAGTACCCACCAGCCTTGGGCACCTCTTCCCCATACCTGTGCCCTTGGGAACCTGCTGCCTGCCACTCTGAACTCTACAATGGCTGGAACCACTGAGCCACAGAGCCCAAAGCTAGCCCTTCTGCTATCATTGCACTGAGATCCCTTCCTTCCCCTTCCCCATCCCTGCTGTCTCTCCTTTGCCAAGCTTGGAGAATGTCCCACCTTGGATGAGTGAGATTCCTGGAATAATGCAAATAAAGTGGTTTTCCAGGAGGCCTGGCATTCTCACCAGGGCCTTGGAGACTTCTTGGGGAAGCTTGGGATGGAGATACTGCCTGTGAGCTGGATGGGATGCCATTCCTAGTGTCCTGGAAAGCCCTGTATTTATAGCCTCTAAACCACGTTCAGCCTCTGCCACTTCTTTCCTCTTTAACCTTGGGCAAATTCAACGCACCCTCTCCTGGCCTCCGCTTCTTGTCTCCAAAATGAGGGGACTGGACTAAATGGTAGTGAATCCCCTGATCCTGTGCTTCTGTGACCAATTGAGAAACCTTGTTCCCCTCCCTCCCAAGCCCTGAGTGTACCCTTGTCCACTTCCATCCACCTCCACATCCAGGACAGCACGGGCATTTTTCCTCTTCAGATTTCAACACTGGGATCCCAGCATAGCCCTGCCTGCCTGCTTGCCTGCCTGCTAGCACTCCTGGGCCATTCTTCTCTCTCCTTCTTGGCATTTGCACATAGGAGGCAGTGAGCTCCAGCTTGGAATTAAAAGGGCCTTGGTTAGAATCCTGATTCTGTGACTTCTTACCTGTGTGACCTTAGGCAGGTCATCCAGTTACTGAGATGACTCCAGTCACTTAGATGAGCTTCAGTTACCTCATCCGTAGAGTCGGGAGCGGAACTCAATGACCCCAAACGGGGTCTTCTTGGCAAAGATACTGGAGTGGTTTGCCATTTCCTTAGCCAGCTCATTTTGCAGATGAGGAAATTGAAGCAAACATGGTTAAGTGACTTGCTTAGGGTCACACGGCTAGGCAATGTCTGAGGCTGGATCTGAATTCAAGTCTTCCTGACTCCAGGCCCTGTGCTCTATACACTGAGCCACCTAATTTTATAGTGGCATGCCCTTGTATAATCCAGCTTGGCATCAATTTACCACGCCAATGTGGCTTTTGAAGTTTCAGCTGCTGAAGCGTCCACAGTGCCCTCTTAGCTTTGGCGTAGGTCCCAGTGAGATCCTGTACTTTCTGACCTGGTATTCACTCCTGTGGATCCCATCTTACATGGAGGACATCTTAGAGTCATAGAAGAACACTGCATTTGGGGTCAGAGGACCTACATTCAAATCCTGACTCTGCTCCTTCACTAACCTCATGACCATGAACATTCACTAAACCTTGGGCCTCATTTTGCACACATGTAAGATAGACTGGGTTCCACAAACTCTAAAGCTATGATCCAGGAGCAGTGCTGGAGGAGCCCCAGAGTTCACTTATCCAACCCACTTTTGGAACAGGGGGGGAAACTGAGGCCCAGAGAAGAGAAAGATTTGCCAATGGTCTCATCTCAAGTTAGTAACAGAGTCTGCACTAGAAAACAGATCTTTTGACTCCCAGCCCAAGGCCTTTTCCATTGGACCAGGTCCAAGTGTAAGTGGGAGAAAGAGCTAATTCCTCCCATGCTGGGGACTTTCTCTCAGCCCAGTACCCTACTTCTGATACACCCAGGAACCAAGGACAGTGACTAGTGCATTGTAAGCGTTTTGGAAACCTTGAAGTGTCTTAAAAAAATAAGATGCAGTCATGGGTGGGAAGGGAAGTTTAGGAAGGGTTCCAAGTGCAAGAGGTACTTTCAGAAGCAAGTTTGTTCTGTTCAGGGGAAAGAGCCTTGGGTTGAGAGTCAGGAGATCTGGGTTCAATCGTAGCCTTGACTGTGACCTTAGCAAACCCTACTCTCCCCCCTTCCCGCTGAAAACAATGGGGATGATAAGGTCCTACCCTGCCAGCTTCCTGGGTGGAGGTGGAGGCGTTGAGGATGCACTGAAAGAATACATAGAAAGGCGTATCCTATGGACACCAGTGAGGGGTGAAGGAAGAGGGAAGAATGTCTGAAGTTGTTTGAGACACCTGCCCCCCAGCTCTTCCCTATACCCTCAGCCAGCTGCCTCCACCACCCTTATTTCCCAAAGCCCCAGGAATGCCAGCTGTCTCTGTCCCTCCCCTCCTTGCCCTGTCCCATCAGTATTGACATTCTTGAACTGGAGCGGGGGTGAGCCTGAAGGAATTGGAAGACAGCTGGGGCCAGTCAGGCATCTTGGGGCTGGGCAGAGAGGAACTGATGCCTAGACTTCCCACCCCTACCTTCCAGCTTTTCACTTCCATCACTACCATTGGTTCTACTTCAGGGTTTATGTTAATTCACAGAAACATCAAATCCTAAGATCTCAGCGCTGAAAAGGTCAGAATATCCTTGGAGCATATCTTGTAGCCCAACTCCCTGTCCATCTGCTTGAATGTTTCCAGCAATTGAGAGCTCACTCTCTACTTGGAAATCTATTCCATTATTACTGGACAACTATGATTCTTAAGAAAGTCTTCCTTTCCTTATGAGCTACCATCTACCTCCCTGTAACTTCCAGCCACTGGTCCCAGTTTTGGACCCTGGGCCAAATCAAGCCCCTCTAACTCAAGTCATGTGGTGTTTTCTGAGCCCCTTGTGGACCCCACTTGAGTCTGCTGACACTATCGGAAGACACAAAGGAGACTGACTCAGGAAAATGGGCAGAGATCGAAGAAGGACAGCTTGTGCCCAAGCATTCAGGTGTGAATTTTTGATGTCCATCCAACAATTTGGGCTTCGAAAGGTCACTGTTCAGAGCATGCACACAGCAGTAACCCTGTTACCTCATCGGACACACACACACACACACACACACACACCACACACACACGCGCGCGCGTGCATACGCTCATGAATGGACCGCACTGATAGGCATGCGTGGATCCTGTGTGCAAGACACAATGCACACACAAAGGATCCATATACATACATAGACATCGTATGCAAACACATGCACCTGTACATGCATGCCGCTGAGCCGCATGTCTGCCCTCAGTGGCCAGAGTGGAAGCCAGGGCTAGAGGAAACTTGGGCCCCCTGCAGTCTTCACAATGAGCACTTGGTGGAGCCAGAGCCCCATGGTCTGGCTAAAGCCCACATCAAGCCTTTCATGAGAGTCTACTGTGTGGTTTTTTGTGGGGAGGCAGTGTGGGGTGTGTATGGGTATTTTGGAGATGGGTGGCGCTACTGAGATTATGAAACCTCAAGAGGGAAAGGGAAGTTTTAATCTTCTCAGACTCAGAGAATATTAGAGCCAGAAGGAGCTTTAGAGACCCCCTTCTCTGAGCCTCTCACTTTACAGATAGGAAAACTGAGGCCCAGCAGATGCAGGACAAGAAATCCATTCTCTTGGCTCCCAGGTTTTCTTTTACACTCTGTTTGAACATGAACCAAACCTCTCACTGCCCCTAATTTCTCAACCCCCCATTACTGTCTCAAATCCCCCTGGTCAGAAGGATAAGGGGAAGAGAAACTCTACCATGGGGGCCTTGAGTAGTAGAAGAGAAGGGAACTACTAGGCCTAAGAGCCTTGGACAGCGCCTTGAGCAATGAGAGCAGTAGATCCTTCAGTGCCTGAAGGGACCTCAGTGGGCATTGAGTACCTCTTATGGCTGATAAAGAGTCTCCTTGGCAAGTGGTCCTAAAAGCATCTACATGAAGAAATAAGGAACCCACGCCCCTCAGAGGAGGGACCCATTTCACTTTGGGATAGCACTAATGCTATGAAGTTTAGAGTGGGGGAGACTGTGGGGTCTCTTTCCTAATGCTGGCAGCCACATGCTAGAGCCGACCCTATTGGCCAAGGGCTAAAGTCACCTAAAAGGAAAGACGAAGAGTCAAGGACTCATCTCAGGACTGGAGCTGCCTACTTCCTGTAGAGATCAGAACGGGGGAGATGAAAGGGAATGAAAACACTGTTTATCAGGAGGTGGGGGAGTAGGGCACCAAGGATGCAGAGAAAGCACAGTGAAGAGATCTGGGACCTAGTCCTGCTCACAGGATGGCTTGGGATAAATCTCTTCCCCTTTCTAGGCCTCAGTTTCCCCATTTGTAAAATTACCTCTAAGATGTTTCTCCCTGGCCCTACTGGCCCTCAGATAGTTTAAGATTCTGGAACTCTGTGTGGGAGTGGGTGGAGAAGAAGCTCAGCCAAACTGAGAGGACCCATTATTTCCCATCCCCTTGGGCAACTGAGAAGCTAGAAATCCAGGACTGGGGTGGAGGTGGAGGGGTGGAGGGGTGGAAACCCAATGGCAGTGGAAAGTGTTTGGAAAAGGGAGTGCTGGAGATGGTATGGGGCCCCCTCCTTCTTTCCCAACCTCCACAAGGCTCCAGCTTCCAATTCTTCAGAAGGATCCCGGGGAGGCTGAGAGTTGCTATTGTGGGAGGTTCAAGCTCCGGAATAGGATGAAGGCTGGGCCTGGGGGTGGGGAAGGGGGTGGAAGAGAATGGATTGCTCTTTAGGGGAATGGTGAGAGGTGGCTTGGGGGTGTTTCTTGGGAGCAGGGAGCTCTGGGATAGGTTGGGGGCTTTGGTGGATAGCTCTGGTGTGGAAGGCTCTGTGTAGGGGGTCTCTCAGGGTGGCCTGGGTTCTCATAGATGATTTCTGTGAGGGAGGTCTCTATATGTGTGGGAATGGGGTGCGGGTAGGGTGGGGTGGATGTCTCTCTGGATATTCTAGGGCTGTGTCTCTCTAGGGCCCACGCTTTTGTTGGAAACACAGAAAGGATCCTGCCCCCTCCTTACCCCAGACCTCAGCCTCTTCCTCAGTGAATATTCTCCCAGAACACTGAGTTTCAGAGTTCAAAGAAGTTTAGTGATCTAATTCCATCCTTAGTTGTAGAGATAGGGAAACTGAGGCCAAGAGGGTGAAAGGGGCTTATTTAAGATCACATTGCAGTGACCTAGCTGGATCTAGATCAGGCAAGGCCACAGGTTCCCCACCCCTGGTCTAGATCAATCCCAGGTGTGCTTACTCCCAACCTAGGACTCTGTGCCCCCCGACTCATTGTAGCCCCCATAGCCCCAGGAACCCTGATTTCAGGTCCTCTTTCATCTCTCACTAGAAAGTAAGGCTGGTGACTTTGCACAGCCCTTCCTCACTTAAATCCAATTCATTTGCATGGCATGCCATCACCTCCCTGATGTCACGGTCCTCTCTGAGAGCAAAGGACAAATAACAAAAATACTACTCCGTGCCCCCCAATTCTCCATGCCTCCTGGAGAAGTAAGACAGTGAGTGTTCGGGTTCACTGACTGGCTAAGTGCGGAACTGAGGCCCAGGGAGGGGAAGGGGCTTATCCAAGGTTGTACTGCCCTTTCCTAATAGAGGTAGGACTGGAACTCAGGTCTTCTGCCTCCCAGCCTAGGGCTCTTGCAGTTGTACCACACTGCTCCTGACCTAAGACGGTATAAGACAATAACGATTGCTATCCCTTCCGAAGTGGTCAGGTTGGTGAGGCAGGAGACCACAGGGCAAAGCCAATTTGTCTCCCCCGGCCCTTCCTTCAGTCCCCTCCCCACAGGCTCTTCAGAGAAGCTGGGTGGGGCCAAGATCCTTTATAAAGGGGCTGATGTTGCTTGCCAACGCAGCTCCTCCCAAGCTGAAAGCCGAGACTCCGTGCCTGGGAGGAAGACTGCAGACTCAGACCTCCAAGCAAGCTCAGATCAGTTCAGCCGCCCGGGCTTCCCGCGGTTGGGCAGGATTCGAGGCAGGGAGCCGGGCAGCATCGGGACAGACAGCTCCTCAGGGCAGGATGGGCCTCCCAGCGCTGGCTGCCCACTGGCTGCTGGGGAGTCTGCTGGTCACCCTGGGAGCCGGCAAGAGCAGAATGCCCCGGTTACAGCTTTCCTACAGAGGTAAGACTCTGGGTTCTGCTGACCCACATCCACCCAGGCACACATGCCTGCCCACTTGAGCAGTCCCGTCTCCCGGACAGCCCCCTTCCTCTGAGTATCCACCGCCTAAGGGGTGCACTCTCATCTCCCAGATACCCACAGCCTTCTGAACTCACCCCTCAGGCACTCAAACCCCTTGTGGGCAGCAGCACGGTGGAAAAAGCACTGGATTTGGACTCAGAGGACCCCAGTTCAAATCCAGACTCTGCCACTTAATTTCTGTGTGACCTTGGTCCAGTCACTTCCCCTCTGGGCCACAGTTTCCTCATCTGTAAAATGAAAGGGTTGAACTAGAAACCTTCTAAGGTCCCTTCCTTAGCTCAAGCAATACGATCCTATACCCAGACGCTCCAAGGACACACACACTTGGGAAATCCAACAAAATGCCATTTGGATCAAATTCATAACTTTTTACTCCGTGAGTTGTCAGCCGCAAAGACTTTTATTTATGGGCCATTTCAAAAACTCTCCCACAAAATCATTTCTGTTAATAAATTGAAACATGAATGACTTGAAAGTCCCTAAGAGTGGTGACACCCCTGACCCCCATTTTGCCAAACACTTGAAGATTTGCAAAATAATTTCCTTACAATAGGTGAGCAGGCTGTTTAATTATCAGGATTCCCATTTTACAGATGAGGGAACTGAGAGGAAGGTGAAATGACCTTTCAAGGTCACACAGAAAGTAGAAGAGGTGGGGTTTGAACCCAGGTTCTTTGTTCACCAAATGCAACGGGCTTTACCAGGCTGCCAATCAAGTGCTAAGGGACTGACATTGTCACCCAAAGCTGGAGGGCCCAGACGCTTATCAGTTTAGGCTATTCAGACACTCCTTGCGCTGGGGGTCTGTAGCTGAGGATTTCAGACACATAGGGAGGGACAGGAATCCAGCTGCCTCTAAACATGATACTGTGCCCTCAAATAGAATGGTGGGGAGGGGACATTTGTGCTCATGGATGAGGGGAACCATTTGAATGGGGCTTTCAGAGGCCACTCAGGCCTGAGGGAAAGGGGCTGAGGTGAGAATGGGAGCATATAGCCTTCAGCAAGTCAGAAAGGAGCCCAAATCCAGCTTGGGTGCTTCCTCTGGAGCCCAGACTCTCCCACAAGCTAGGAGAGCCGACAGAAGGAAAATTAGTGATACCTACCCCCTCCACGCCTACTCAGAGAGACCCTTCCTGCTCCCATCTTCCCTCTGAGCATCACCTTCCTTCTGCTCTCTTCTGGGCCAGGTTCTCTGGGGCCTCCTTCTGAGCCCTTAGTCCCAGCCTGTTCCGTAATCAATGTAACCCCGAATCTCCCATGGAGCAGCCAAACAGGATTCTGGGTTCTCTGGGTCTGTGAGGATAAAAAAATGGCTGATTTCCCACAAAATTCCTGGAAAGTCTAGATGAAGTTGCTGTCAGTCTACTTTCATAGACTTAGCATGTCAGAGAGAAAAGGGACCTCAACAACCATCTTAAGTTGAATTTCATTTTACAGGTGAAGAAAAAGGCCCAAAGACAGGAAGGGCTTGTCCGCAGAAGCCCTGGCTCCTGTCCTGGCCACCAGGAGCCCAGAAGGGTTTAAAGTCCTGTGTCTAGGCCAGCCAGTCCTGAAGTCACAGAACCAGAGGCAAGAGCCAAGAATAGTGCCAGTCTCTGGCCTCCTCAAGGGCACAAAGTCATTCCCCCCCATCCCTCAGAGCCTTATCTGGGGCCCAGGGCCCCTGGGGACTCTGAGATAAGCCCAGACCACATTCTGCTTTCTTCTGAGAGCAAACTGGCTGGCACAGGGCCCAGGCCCAGGCAGGGTCCCAGGATTTAGGTGTAGTTGACCTCGATAGAAGGAACAAGGAAAGAAGAGACAGGGCCTCCTTCAGACTCTATACTGCCCTCAGTAGGGTGAAAGAGGCTTTGATCTGGAATTAGGTGCTGGGTTCAAATTCTGAATCTGCCACTCATTACCTATATGACGTTGGGCAAGTCATATAGTCAAAAAGCATTTATTAAGCACTTATTGTATGCCAGGTGCTACCCAGGAGTGGGGAACCTGCAGCCTCAAGGCCACCTGTGGCCGTGTAGGTCCTTAGGTGCAGCCTTTTGACTGAGTCCAAGTTTCACAGACCAAATCCTTTTATTAAGGGGATTTGTTCTGTGAAGTTTGGATTCAGTCAAAGGGCTGCCCTTGAGGACCTAGAGGGCCACATGTGGCCTCGAGGCCACTACACCAAGCCCTAGAAATACAAAGAAAGGCAAAAAACACAGAGAAACGTGTAACCGCTGTGTTTTTCCAAATGTTCAGAGGGACAAGTTGCTGGATGGAAGGACAGGAGAAATAAAAAATGCAGAGCTAGGGCACTCTTGCCAAGAGGGCATATGAGACCTATGGAAGGCGATCTCAGATAAGCACCAGCATTGGCAGTAATGGGAAAGGCCTCTTTGGGAAGGTGGAGTTGGAGCTGAGTTTTTAAGGAAGCCAGAGATGTCAATAGGCTTCAGAGGGGTCAGCCAGGGAACAGTCGCAAGGGTGGAGGACCTGACTGGGATAATTCAAGGAGGGGAATAAAATTCAAGAAGACTAGAAAGATAAGAAGGGGGCAGATTGCCAAACAAAGGATATTCTATCTGATCCTAGAGGTAATGAGCCACTGGAGTTTATTGGAGGGGGAGGTGATTGGGTCTGCCTTCTGATTTCTGAATGGGGGGGGGAACTAGCTGGGCTATGAGGGTCTTTCCAGCCCCAGGTTCTATAAACCACTGAGTACTTCTTCTGAGGGGGCCCTATGGAGCTGTCCTCAGAGAGCTCCCCGTGAGGGGAAGGCATGGTACCTGCTATTAATGAGAACTAAGACTGAGACAGAACGCTAAGAGCAGAAAGATAACCAAAGACCATTCATAGCTTCTCTCCAAGATGTAAGGAGTGTGGTTTATGTGAGTTTAGTCAGGGCCTGTCAGGGTTTTCGAAGGATTCTGAATGGGGGACAGACTCTGGGTTGTATAAATGACCAGGTGCACCGGGGCTGGTCCGTGGCTGCAGCTGGCCAAGCCATTGTGGCTCCTGGCGTGACCGTGTGCCGTCCAGCTGCTCTCTCCCCTGTACCTTTCATCAGCTGCCAGACCTCATCCGGACTCCAGCCTTGGCTCAGTCATGCTGGCCTCCCCCAGGACCCATATGATTGACTCTGATGTTTTCTGGAACTTGTTTCTATGATTCTTTTTTCTTTTCTGATGAGATGCAATTTAGGAAGTGATACAGGGGAGAGGCCAGGCGTTGGGATGATCTGAAGATTGGGATGTGATTGAGCAGAGCATAAATTGAAGAAGAGGCCGACATGTGACATGACATAAAGATGGGGCTGTGATAGAGGGGTGAAATATGGAGAAGAGGCTGGCCTATGACATGAAAGAGAGGCTGGGGTTTGGTAGCGGGAGAGGCTGGGGACATGACGGGAGGATGACATTTGTGGGGGAAGGTTCAGGAAGGGAGGGGAATTGCCAAGAGGGGATAATTGAAAGGTGGACAGGAAGAGCGAGGATGGGATTGGGAATTTAGGCTGTGTGGGGAACTAGTCTCTGGAGCTGCAGATGACACGTGAAGTCGCTGCTTCCAAGCCAGACTGATACTGGCAAGCAGAGGAGTTTTTCCAGATGGTCAGTGGGACAAGCTGCTGGATGGAAGGGGCGGGGGAAGTAAGGGACGCAGAGGTAGGGGATCCTATTGCCAATGCCTTTCTCTGGTCCCTGGAGGGCAATGGGGCCAGAGACAGGAGCCAAGGAGGAGGGGAGGGAGGTCAGGATGGAGACATTAAACAACTGGGCAGGAAACCCCCTCTGGACCCTACTGATGTCTAGAATTCATAGCCTGCTCCTGCCTCTGTGTGTGTGTGTGTGTGTGTGTGTGTGTGTGTGTGCGTGTAACAGAGACAGAGAGAGAAAGAGACAGAGACAGAAAGACAGAGAGAGACACAGACAGATAGAGTGATCACTCAAGTATGGTCAAGATAGGTCCAGACTGCACCGGACCTGGCATTGTTGGAGGACCAGCCCAGCCCAATCTTCCAGCCAGGTCCCCTTGACCCATGTGGTACAGACTATGTCTTAATTGAAACGTTAGACTTTCCTCAGTCCTTACCGAAGTGTTCTTCATACAGTAGATAGTTAATCAGTGTTTACTGAATGAATGTGCCCTGAACTAGGGGTTAGGAGATCTAGGGCTGAGTCCTGTGACCTTGGGCATGACTGAAGAATCTAGCCCTGGGCTTGGACCTTGGAGATGTGTATGAGTTTCCTGGGTACCCCAGGGTAGGTGTTTTGCCTTGTCAAAGAAAAGCACGTGCACATGCAGCCTTCAGTGTTAATATTCCCAACGTTATTCAATGTCCCTGCTCTTTGGACTCCAGCTCCTAGAGGCTCCAGGCTTTCTTGGCCCCCTGACATGTGCTGGCCACGCTGACCGCTCATGCTGCGGCCACCAAGAACTAGGTAGCTCGATCTGGTTCCTTTTGTCCTGTCCCTCTGTCCTTTCTGCCATCTATCTCCACAGCCTCCAGACTTCACCAAACAAAAGTGCTTTTTTTCCCTGTGGTTTATTCAGAAAGCAAAAGAAATAAATGCAAAGATCATCCACCTTGAGAAGGAAATTAGACCTTTGGAAGAATAAAGCTACTTAGTACCAGGATAAGGGACAGGTAGGTGAGAAAGTGGAGGCCCAGAAAAGCGATTATGGCACATTGTCTCTCTTGGCTAACTATCCATCTTCCCTCTACTGAAAGTCAGAAGATGACAGATACCTAATGTATACAATTAGTTTTCTCATCACCTTAAAAATTGAATAGAAAATGCCTCATCCCTCAGAAAGTCACAGGCCCAGAGAAGCCACATTGTCCAGTGGGAATGGCATTGGCTTTGGGGTCAAAGGGCTTGGGTTCAAATTCTGCCTCTGCTGTTACCTATATGGCCATGGGCAAATCACTGACCCTCTCTGAGCCTCAGTTTCCTCATCTATTAAATGGGCAGGGTTTGGACTACATGGTCTCTGAGATCTCTTCTAGATCTCTAAGCCTTAGTCCTCTCCTCTGAACAATTGGACTTGAGGGTCTCTGAAGGCCCTTCTAGCTCAAACATTTTGGGGCTTATTTGCCTTGAAGTTTATTGAAACGAACTCGGATTCTTGGGCTCCTTCCCTGTCTTCATCTTGGGTGTCAGGAGATTAGGAAGCAAGCCTTGGAGCCAGAAGGGAATGGAAGAATGAAAAAGTTTTTTATTAAGCACTTACTGAATGTAAGGCACTGTAGTAAGCATTGGGGATAAACAAGATGGTGTCTACCCTCAAGGAACTGACTTTGTAACTGGGGAAGCAGTGTCCTGGTAGGGATGTTTGGGACTAAAAAGTCCCTGTGATGATGAGTGGTCCCAGAGGAAAACTGATTGAAAATTGGAGAGAGATGCAGCAATTTGTGTGTGTGTGTGTGTGTGTGTGTGTGTGTGTGTGTGTGTGTGTGTGTATGTGTCCCTCCCCAGCTCTCACTGACACTTGGACTGCTAGGAAGAACGTGATTGATTGCAATTCCTTGGTGGTTATCTAAGCCCATCAGGAAGAAAGCTGAGGAGACCAGGCTGGGTGTGAAGTGTGCCAGACCCTAGGAGCAAAGGCAGAAATTGTGTATTTCTTTTTTTTAAAATTTTGCCTGGAGGTGAGTATGGAGGGAGCAGAGAGGGCAGGTCCCTGTGGTAATGGCAAGATCATAGTGCCCAGTTTGCCTTGGGTGGTCATGTGGGATGTGTATAGGTTCTTAGGTGCTTGGTACTTCAGCGTTGTGACTTCTTACCCATCTCCCTGTCTAAGCAGACTCCGGTGTGGAATAAGTGATTTTGGCTTGTCTAGCCTGACTCCCTAGCATAAACGAACTACCTTCCTTTCTCATTCCCAGAGACGAGTGGGGACAGGAGGCGGAGGGAAGAAAGATAAGGCCAAAATTAGGGTGGGACAGTTGGGACTTTTGCCCAGGATGCTGACGTGGAGGCACTCTGCTTTCCTGAGGTAGTTTGGAACTCACCACCTCGGAGTATCCATGGGGGTTGGGAAGAAGGCGGGCCCTAGAGCAGAGCAAGGGATCCGGCTGTGACAGGCTGGCAGATGAGGTGAGGTAGGGGATGGTCTGGGCTGCCTGCATATGCAGTCTGACTGTCCTTTGTGCCCCCAGGTAAGAAGACGCCTAGTTACAGTTCTGCCTGGAGGATGAGGTGGGAGTTGAGGAGCCAGGCAATCTGATACTGAAGGGAAGGGCTGGGAAGAGGGTCTGGACTGGGCATAATGTCTCCTTTCCCCATGTCTGCTCTACAGATCTTCTGGCCACTAACCGCTCTACCCTCTTCCTGGGCCCTCGGGGTAAATTGGATCTAAGGGCTCTATACCTAGATGAGTATCGGGACCGGCTCTTTCTGGGTGGACGGGACACCCTCTACTCCCTGCGATTGGACCACGCAGGGCCTGACCCCAAGGAGGTAAGGCAGGAGCCTGGGCTTTAGGGCTAGGTCAAAAGAGCCATCCTTTCCCCTGTGATTATCCACAGAATCTGAAAATTAAATTAGAGCGCCTGACACATAGTAGGCGCTTAATAAATGCTTGTTGATTTATTGGGAGGCACCTTACAGAGCTTCTAGTGCCACACTCTCATTTTACAAATGGAGAAATTGAGGTCCAAAGAGGGGATAGAACGTTCTTGAATTCATACCATACGATACCATACCATAGGATCAGATGGAGGGCTTCCCATCCATTCTCTCCCTGCTATCTCACTCTCCCACTCCCACCCCAACTCCCACCTCAAGCATGATGTGAGGTCCCAAGTTCCTACTATTCCTTTCCCAAATGTTAGAAAGGGATTTCCCCCCGATTCTTCCCTCCCTTCCCTTAGCCCATAGCCCAATACTGTATGTGTTCACAGATCTTGTGGCCTCCTCAACCTGGCCAGAAGGAAGAATGCATCCTGAAAGGCAGAGATCCCTTGGTAAGTGATGGTGAAGCAAATTGTCAGGCCTTAGGTTCCCAGAGATGGTTCTCCAAGTTGGTACAGCCTGATTCTAAGGTCACTGAGGCACAGTTAAAGCCCTGCCTTGGTTTCCCTTTCTGGAAAGGGATGCAGAGGAGATTTACATGCTGCTTTGGCATCCCAAGGAGAACCTAGTATCCCACACGTGGGGCAGTGGTGGAGGGGATGTAAATCCCAGCATGTATTTTTTAAAAATGTACTCAGATGAGATAGATTGGCTCTTGGCCAATCACAGCACAACAGGTATGTGTGTTGGGGGGTTGGAAGACAGTGTAGACTGAAGCCTGGCTTTCAAACACTTATAAAGGGGCTACTGCCTGACTCCTGGTCACACTGTCCCTCAAATAGGTGCTGATGGTCTCTAGACCAGGCCTCCATGAGGGGTGAGTAAGGACCCAGAGCCCCCGTTCCCTCTTTTCTTTGCCAATTTAGGAACCAGCAACTCAGAGCAATAGGAGACCTAACTTCCTTCCTGCTGGGTCAAGGAAGACAATGGGCCAGACTAGGGGGGGAGGGCAATGGAGGAGAGAAGGGCAATCTGGAGGAATTTAGAGATTGTAGGGGATTGTGAACCAGCCTGCTCTCAGGCTGTCTCAGGCCAGGCAGAGGCCAGTGAAATACAACCTCCTAGATGTCTATCCTAGGACAATGGACAACAGAGAGGCTGTTTGGAGTGGGCACAATCCCAACCCCAGTCCAACATGCACAACCATACACCTGCCCCCGACAACATTCATTAAATCCATATAGTGGGTAGGAGCTGTGCTAAGGGCTGGGCTTGAGACAAAAACAAATAAAACCTAATCTTTGTTCCCTTGGAGCTCCGAGCCTAGGGGTGGGGTGGGGAACAAGGACGTATAACCGACATAAGGCAGGGGGTGATAAGGGCCATAATAGAGGTATGGACAAAGTATTGTAGAGTTTCAGAAAGACAGAATTCAGAAGGGTCTGGGAGAACCAGGAAAGGCTTCAGGGAGGAAGGGACAGTTGATCTGGGCCTTGAAGGAAGGGTAGGATTGGGCCAAAAATGGAAAGATAGAATTCCAGGCAAAAGGGAACAGTGTGAGCAAAGGTCACAAGGTCATAGCTCTAGATCTGAAAGGGACTTTGTAGGCCAAGTCCAAACCACAAATTTTTACAGGTGAGGAAAGTGAGGCACAGAGTGGTTAAGTGACTTGCTCAGTCACACTGCTAATAAGCATCAGGGTGGGATCTGAACCTAAGTCTTCCTAACTCCAAGCTCAGTGCCCTATCTACTATATCAAACTAGTGCAGGGCATGGGGAATAATCCAGTTTGACTGCACAGTAGTTATGAATGGGGTGAGAAAGAGGGCTGGAAAGGTAGATTTGGAGGCCAAATCTCAGCCTGAGTGCCAGGCTGAGGAGCCAGTACTTTGACCTGTAGGAAAAGGTCAACTGGGTCATTCCAAACCAGCAGCCAGTCAGCTAGTGACCGAGCTCCAGTGGATCTGAAGGAGCTGAGCCTCAGGACGCTTGACCCTCTTACTATGCTGACTTGAGTTGAGGGGATGGACAATGGCTTCCTTGCCCCTCCCCGGGCCTCATCCTTCTATTGGTTTCCCCTCCAGACTGAATGTGCCAACTACGTTCGAGTGCTACACCCCTACAACAGAACCCATCTGCTGGCCTGTGGCACCGGAGCCTTCCAGCCTATGTGTGCCCTCATCACTGTGGGCCATCGGGGGGAGGTGAGCAGGGAGCACCTGGCTCTGGGCCCAGGGGCAAAGGGCCTTATGCTGGGAACTCTGCTGGGCAGGGGCCCTAATGGAATGGCATTCCTCACGCCTCCTTTGCCCTGGCTTCAGGGTTTGACCCTACTTGAAGGCTCCCCATTGAGTAGAAGATGAAGGGAAGTACTCAGCCCTGGGGCATGAGGGAGTGTGATGGTGGTGACCCTGAAGGGAAGGCTTTGTGCCTGGAGAGGGGGTGGTGGATGAGTAGGAAGAGATCTAAGACAACCCTCCCCCCTGACCCCACTCCAAGAACTCCTTCTGATTCCACAAAAGCAGCCTGAACCCTGGTGACCTTCTGGATGATTACAGCAAGGGACCAGGAGCTAGCTAGACTCCTCAAGGCCTCTAAGGATCTTGTCCCCCTGAGAGAAGAGGAGGGAGGGAAGATGGGGAGGGCTGGGCAGGGTGTGGGAAAAGGGCTGGGATTCACAAAGCCATCCCGTCCCATTCCTTTGCCACCCCTCAGCACGTGTTCAACCTGGACCGGGCCAGCGTGGAAGGTGGACGGGGACGCTGCCCACATGAGCCTGACAGACCTTTTTCCAGCACCTTTGTCGGTGGGTGACTCCTGGTGGAATGGGGACGTGGTCACAACCTGAGGGAAGAGCTAATAGCAGAAGCAGGGGATGGACATTTGGGGGCAGAGAGAAGGAGTTCTGGGTAATGTGAGACAAAGGGAAGAATGTCCTGGGTTCAGGGTCATTCCAAGGACAGAAATAGTGCACTTAGGTGGGATCTTTTAACTTGCTTCTACTGTTTGTTGCTTAAGGCTTGTATCTAACCATACTGTGAGCTCCCTGAGGACAGGGTCTGGTTCTACTTCTATCTCCTCCATTGTCCCTGAGCACAGAAATGAAGGGCTGGGGGAGGGGAAAGGGCCAGGGGTGAAATATGGGGGAGGGAAAGGTATTTAGTGGGCCCACCCTGAGGAACATGACCTGAGCTACAGTCTAGAAGTGGACAATGGGAAGGTCATTAGTATAAATAGAGCTGATAGGTTGGGCACCTGTAAGAAGTAGCTGTGGACAGTGCCTGGGTGTGAGGGGAGCAATGGGCCTGGTCCAGGAGGGGAGGGTGAGGTAGAGAAGCAGATTTGGAAGCCCCTCCCCTTAGCACACCCACCTTGGCTCCCAGTGCCCTCACCCCTGACTCTTCATCTTTCCCAGGTGGAGAGCTGTACACAGGCCTCACTGCTGACTTCCTGGGCCGAGAAGCTGTAATCTTCCGTAGTGGTGGTGCCCGGCCTGCCCTTCGCTCGGACACTGACCAGAGCCTCCTTCATGGTGAGGCCCCGTGTGGATAGCTCAACAACGGAGTTGGGGACTGGCCAGAGGAGGAAGGACTAGAGTATCTGGGGGAAAGGGAGAAGCAGGAGTGGAAGAAGTCCACCTCCCATCTGTCCTCAGGATTGGGTGCCTTCAGTACTGTGGGCAGGCCCAGCCATGGTTTCCCATGCCTCGCAAGCCAACATCTATCAGATGAGGTACTGCTCCCCATGAAAGCTTCCCCCTCAAACTCTCTACCCTCTCCCCCTGCAGACCCCAGGTTTGTGGGCGCTGCCCTTATCCCTGACAACACTGACCGGGACAATGACAAGGTCTACTTTTTCTTCTCGGAGGCAGTTACCCTGCCCGATGGGGGCTCTGGCCGGGCTACTGTCAGCCGCGTGGGCCGCATCTGCGTGGTGAGAACCAGGCTGGGGATGTTTGGATGGGCAGGGACTAACGAGGTAAAACCCTAGGAAGCAATACCCCTAACTCCTACCCATGTTGGCTTCCTCTTCCCAGGAGTATGGGCAAGGTTTTTTTCCCCCTCCCTCCAGTTTTAAAAGGGGAAATGAAGATCCAGGCATCCAGGTTGGGGTCAGGGAGAGATCCTAGGTTTCTGAGCTACCTCCCAGGTTCCCATCATTTGTCTCTGCAACATGGGTTAAGGGCATGGGGTAGGCTGGGCTTTGCCCATCTGTCATACCAGGTTGTCTGAGGGGTCCACCCCTGGAATGACCCTGCCTATCCTATCTCAGATTCCCCAAGGGCTCTGGGCTTCCTGGCCTGGGTCCTACCTCTGGAGTGACCCTGCCTTCCCTTTCCCAGAATGATGCTGGGGGCCAGAGGGTACTGGTGAACAAATGGAGCACATTTCTGAAGGCCAGGCTCATCTGTTCTGTGCCTACCCCTGGCGGTGCTGACACCTACTTTGACCAACTGGGTAAGCAGGAGAGCAGGGGCAGAGCATCTATGGAGGGCAGAGGCCTGGAGGAAAATGGCTTGGTGGGTTGGTCTGGGAGGGGCTCAGTGTGGATTGTGATCCAGCTATGTTCACCTCCCAGAGGATGTGTTCTTGCTGTTGCCCAAGGACGGGAAGAGTCCAGAGGTCTACGCGTTATTCAGCACGCTCAGGTAAGATGCTGCCCCTTCTGCACCCATCCTCCCATCTCTGTACCCCAATGTTTCTTTGTCTCTGGGTCTATCTCTGTCCCTTCGTCCTTTTCTTTGTGTCCCTCTGAATCATAAGATTTAGACCTGGAAGGGACCTTGGAGTCCCTGCCATTATCTAACCCTTTCATTTTAAAGATAAAGAATGGAGGCTCAGAGTGGTAAGTGACAGCTCTCAGTTTCCTCCAGTATGCTGGGGTTGAAGCCCAAATCCAGCAGTCTTTTCCTCTTTATAAGACTTCTCTGTCTCTGTCTCCCTTGCACATAGTAAGCACTTAATAAATGCTTGTTGATTAGTTTGTCATCTCTCTACAATCCTCTAGGACTGCAGCCTTCTTAGCTTCTCCTCTTCCATCTTGGGACCTCTCATCTTCCCTCTCTTATGACCCTTCCACATCCTCAGTAAGTACCCTCTCTACCCAAGCTTCAAGAGTGACTACCTGAGTGACTCACTGGTGTATTTCTTTGGCAGTGCTGTATTCCAGGGCTTTGCCGTCTGTGTGTACCGCATGGCTGACATCTGGGAGGTTTTCAATGGACCCTTTGCCCACAGGGATGGTCCCCAGCACCAATGGGGACCCTATGGGGGCAAGGTGCCCTTCCCTCGGCCAGGGGTGGTGAGTTGAGGTCTGTGGGCAACAAGGGAGAGGGAGGATGAGAAGAGAGAGGGAAGTGAAAAGAAAGGAAGGCTGAGGGGGGGATGGCAAATTGCTCCTGCACTCTTGGAATTTGGTTCTGGGTCCCAAACAATCTTAGGTATAGTACTAGGCTCCCTACTTTCTGGCACTTGTCTTGGACCCTCAACCCTCCCAGTATGGCCCTGGGTCTTGCACTCCTTGGAGACAGTCCTAGGCTCCAAACCCTGCTCCACCCTAACCCTACTCCCTGAACAGAGCCTGGGCTCCATACTCACTAGACAGTATGGCTGACTTTGAAGGAGAAGGCTATCTATTTGTCATATTGCTTTCCCAATACCCACAATGAAAGGAGAGGGAAGGGGAAGAACCTCAGGGTTGAGGGGGAAGTTCACGTCAGGGAGACAGTTGGGGAGACAAGAAGTCATCTCATTTTTTTTTCCTCCTGTTCTCTCTGCCCTCCCCTTCCTTGGCTCATGTCCGTTTGCTTTCTGGTCCCACCACCCATTCTTCCGACTCTTGGCCCCACAGTGCCCCAGTAAGACCACAACCCAGCCTGGCCGGCCCTTTGGCAGCACCAAGGACTACCCAGATGATGTACTGCAGTTCACCCGGGCCCACCCACTCATGTTCCAATCTGTGCTGCCCCGGCATGGTCGTCCCATCCTCATCAAGACTCACCTGCCCTATCGACTTCTCCAGATTGTGGTAGACCAAGTAGAGGCTGAGGATGGGGCCTATGATGTCATCTTCCTGGGCACAGGTAAGTGGCCTGAGACCCCCCCTCCCTTGAACTTTCCCTTTCCACCAGAGTTGGTATTGCTGATCACATCCCTAAACATTTCTTCTGTTGCCTAAAATCCCACTATTAACAAGTTATTCCTTTGGCCTACACATTGTTGTAAAAGCACATCAAATCTCCAGTGTCTCACTATAAATGAACATATCAAAGACGATCAGACCCAGAAGGACCTTAGAGGGCACTTTATCAACTAATGCTCAGAGAGGGAATGGGCCTCACAGAGCAAGCTGATGATTAAACTAGGACCCAAAATCCATGTTACCTGATGCCTGGCCCACGATCCCTTCCCCCGAACTCTCAGATCCCTTGTCTTCCTCTGAGATGAGTATGAGAACATTAGCTTGTGATGGAGGGACAAGTAAAAGTGGGAGGTAGGTGAGGAGTGGTAGGACATACTCTGAACCAGACTGACTCTACCAAAGAAGACTGCTAAATGATCCAAAATGGATGGTTTAAGTGCCACAATGACCACACCCTCAGCATCATCTGGTCCTCTACAGTACTGGGTGCTGAGGCCCATGCTGGGGTTCTTGCAAGCTTTGAACCTTTCTATCCTGTTCCCTCCTCTTCCCCTCACTCTTCTACTCTTGCTTCTCAGATGTGGGCTCTGTACTCAAGGTCATAGCTTTCCAGACCGGAAAATCTGCGGAGCCTGAGGAGGCAATCCTGGAAGAGCTGCAGGTGTTTAAGGTGAGTTGTAGATAGGGTAGGGTTAGCCTCAGGGAGGTGCTGGGGACACTATTCTCAGGATCATTGTAGAATGGAAGAGCTAGAAGATCCTGGCATCTAGGCTGCCTAGAGAAGGACAAATGTGCCATTTTTTTTTTAATGGGAAGAGAGCGGAATCTACAAACTAAAGGCTAGAGAACTTGGCTTTGACTTCTGGTGAAATTCTATAATATTTTAAAAAATCTTATGTGTATCAATGGATTTTTGGTTTTATGTCACCCAAGAATGAATCCATTGAAAGAAAGGTGAAGGAAGAGGAGGGGAAAGTGGTCTAGAAACATTATTAAAGGGACGGTTAGTGAACTTTTAGAAATGGAAGTGCTATCATAAAGAGCCAGCAGGAGTTTATCAAGAACTGGTGGTGCGAATTAACCTCATTTCCTTTTTAAAACAGGATGATAATAATAGCTAGCATTTATATAGTGCTTAGAGATTTGCAAAGCATTTTACAATCATTATCTCATTTTGTCCTCACAACAACCCTGTGATTTAGGTGCTATTATTATCCCTATCTTGCAGATGAGGAAATAGAGGCAGATAGAGGTTAAGTGGTCATAAAAAGAGTAAGAGTTTGAAACTGGATTTGAACTCAGGTCTTCCTGACTCCTGTTCTGATGGGTCCCTGGTATGTTGTTGATACAGTTTATCTAAGCATTAGCAAAACATTTGATAAAGTCTCTCTTGTTATTCATGTGGTCAAGATGGAGAGATGAGATTAAATGATTGCACTGGCTGGTTGAATGACCAGAACCAAGGAACAGTCACTAAAAGCTGGATATCACTTTGGAAGAAGGCCTGTAGTTGAGTGCCCCAGGGACCTGTCCTCGGTCCACGCTATTTAACATTTTTATCAATGATTTGAATGAAGGGCTGCTCATCAGATTTGAAAATGACCCAAAACTAGGAGTCATTATTGCACTGGATATCTGTAAGGATCCAAAAAGACCTTGGCTGGCTAAAATGATGGCCCAAATATAATAAGGTGAAATTTAATAGGGATAAATGCAAATTCATCATAGACTCTTAAATTTGGGGCTGGAAGGGACCTTGGAGGGCAGTCTTATTCCTTCATTTTACAGCTCAGCAAATTGAGACCTAGAAAGTGACACTCCCAGTTCAAAAACATCAACTTTATTTCACATCAAATCAATACTAGCTTGTGGCTTTGTTGTTTTTCAGTTGTGTCTGACTCTTTGTGACCCCATTTGGGGTTTTCTTGGCAGAGATACTGGAGTGGTTTTTGCCATTTCCTTCTCCAGTTCATTTTATAGATGAAGAAACAGAGGCAAACAGGGTTAAATGACTTGTCCAGGGTCACATAGCTAGTAAGTGTCTGAGGTTGGACTTGAACTGAAGTCCTGACTCCAGACTAGGCTCTCTGTCTACTGTGCCACCTAGTAGACGGCTAGATAGAAGTTTCTCTGGAAAAGTCACAAGGATTTTAGTGAACTAGGAGCTTTATATTAGTCAACAGGATGTTATGGCAGCCAAAAGAGTGAATGAGGCCTTAGGCATGGTGCCCAGGGCTAGGCCCATTGTATCCTTCCTTGCTCAGGCCACATTTAGGAGATTGTGTCTAGCTCTAGGTGGCATGGTTTAAGAAAGATTTTAATAAAATGAAGACTATTGGCAGTTAGGTGGCACAGTGGAGTCTGGAAGACCCGAGTTCAAATCTGGCCTCAGACACTAGCTACATGACTCTGGGTAAATCATTTAATGCTGTTTGCCTCAGTTTCCTCATCTGTCAAATGAGCTGGAGAAAGAAATGGCAAACCACTCCAATATCTTTGTCAAGAAAACCCCAAATGGAGTCATGGAGAGTCAGACACAACTGAAAATGACTGAATAACACGACAAACTCTGAGGCATCATGTTAGAACTTAGTGAAAAAAAGACACAAAGTAGTTTCTGCTTTATTTGGGGATCCAACATATAAATAGAAGATAATTTAAGGTGGGTGAGAGCACTAAGGACTGAGGCAATTGGGCAAGGTGGGCAAGAGGTAGTATCTGAGCTAAGAATCTAAGAGACAGAGATGGGAAAGGAGAGTATTCCAGAGCTGTCATGGGGGACAGCCTACAGAAAGGCATGGAAGGGGAGGATGGGATGCCTAGCACCAGGCATGTAAATGAGGGATGTTGTGGAGCATTGGCAAGGCTTGGTAACTGATTTGTATTTGGCAAGTGAAGGAAAGGGAAGAGTTGACCATGTCTCTGAGCATGTGAACCTGGGTGACTGGAAAGATGAACCCTCAACAAAATCACAGGAGTTTGCTAGAGGGACAAATTAGTGGGGAAAGATAAGCTCCATGTCGGATGTGTTTGACTTTGATATACTCATGGGAGATCCCAGTAGAGATGTCAAGAAAGTTTGGCTATCTATGTTTGGGAGGTATCGGCATAGAAATGATGACTAAACTCATGGTTGCTAATAAGCCTAGGAGAGCATAGAGAGAGAAAAGGGCTCAGCACAGAACCTTGGGAAAGAGCCACAGTTAGGGGCCAAGCACAGATGATAATTCAGTGGAAGAGACTGAGGAGCAGTAAGGCATTATATTACTATGGTATCTTTGAGCAGTCTGTGTTGGGGAGGGGTTAGATGTGTTTATAGGAAGATGAGGTATACACTAGAGGCAGAGTGGTAGGTTAAAACAAGCTAATTAAAAATGGAGGAATTAGGGACCTGGGGAGATGACAACCTCAATATTTAACTAAATTACACTGCCCTTAGCCTAAGACTTAAACAGAGTTCAGCAAGGAGGAGGTTGGCTGGCAGCAGAGACTTTTCTCCTAAATACAACAGCTGGAGAAGGCTGCTTGGCCTTCACTTCAAGAGCTTGGCTCTTGGAGGAGGAAGGACTCTTGTAAAAGCCAGAAGTGCTCATCTGAATCCAGGCTGGGAGCCAGCTTTTGAGGAAGAGCCCTCTGGGATAGCTTGCGTGGTTGGGTTAGGGGACTAAGGAAATGGAGTAAAGGGGAGGGTGGAGACTCGGTCCCAATGCTGAACTTCCACTCTGCCCCTAGGTGCCCACACCCATCATCGAGATGGAGATCTCTGTCAAACGGGTGAGAGCCACATTTTTCCTTCTCTGTCTCTTTTTACCTCGCCCCTTCTTCTCCTCCCTCCTCTTCTTCTTCCCTCCTCTTTTTCCTTCTTTCTGGCTCCTTCCTCCTCCCCCTTGGCTTAGCCTTTTCACCCTTCTCTTGAACTCTTCTATCTTTTCTTTCTTCCTTCCAAAATTCGTATCGCGTTGAGCTTTTGATGTTGCAGCCTTGGAACCCACAGTCTAGTTGGGAAGAAAAGACTTATAGACAAGAAACCATCGAAGAACAAATGTGCTGTGTATGACCAAATGCTGGGTTGTGTGGCCCAGATGAGTTGGAGTTGGGGCAGGGAGGGCGGAGATCCTTCAGAGCTTTGATAAGGCTTCAGAGAGGAAGCAGGTCCTTAAAATTCATGTCTATCCAACCATATTTTAAGGGAATTAGGGGACCTTACTTAAAGAGCCATACCACAAATCACACTCATGGGATATAGAATAAGAAGGAAGCCAAGAAATTGTATAGGCCAACTTACTTTTTTTCATAGATGTGGAAATTGAGACCGAGATAAGGAAAGTGCTGTGCCCAAGAATAGTTTCTGACTCCAAATCCAGTGCACTTTCCGTTCCACAGCACTGTCTCTCACAAAGAATTCCCTTTCCTCTCTCCTTCAATTTATAATTTGTATAAATCTGGATTTTCCTACATCAGGTTTGTTTATGGTGGGATCTGTCTATAAGGCAGCCCACAGGCTCGTTACCATTTTGAGGGAAGGATGAGGGTGCGTGTCTTGAGTGGGAAGCAGCAAAAGAAGTTAAAAGCCATGAGGATGGGATGAGAAAACTATTGGTTTCTATTTGTCAGTCTGGGAAGGCTTCCTGGAGGAGGATGGACTCTCAGGAGCCCCACAGCCTTTCCTGCCTCCCCAGCCCTACGTGATGTCTCTCCTAACTCCACTGCTCTTTGAAGTCACAGTGCTTCAAGGAGCCCTGACTCCTCTGCTTCCCGGTCTGATCCCAATCTAGCAAAAGCTGTATGTGGGCTCCCCACTGGGCGTGGCCCAGCTTCTGCTGCATCAGTGTGAGACATATGGTGATGCCTGTGCAGAGTGCTGCCTGGCCCGGGATCCCTACTGTGCTTGGGATGGCAATACTTGCACTCGATACCAGCCCAGTTCTAATAAACGGCGATTCCGAAGGCAAGACGTCCGACACGGCAACCCAGTATTGCAATGCCTGGGCCAGAGCCACAGTGGTGAGTGTGCACCTATGTGTGGAAGCCTGGAGGGTGGGGAAGGATCCACTACTTCCTCTGGGAATCTCCTGGGGGTGGTCATCCTGCCCTCTCCATCCAAACCTAACAGAGATTGCTACTTAGAGATATGGAAGAGGGCCTGATGTCTCAGCCTGAAATTATAGCTCTCTTCCCTCTTCAGCACTGTCAATTTATGCATTGAAAAGGCATGTAATATGTGCCAGGCACCAAGCTAAGCACTGGTAATACGAAAACAAAACTGACACAGTCCCTGCTCTCAAGTAGCTTAGAGTCCTAGTAAATGGAGAGAGGTTTGGCTGCACCGTCCCAGCTCAGCAACGAGGTGTCCCTGAACAAGTTACTTCTTCTACGTGGGCCTTATCCTCCCTGTTCTACAATAGGAATGATACCAGCCAGCCACCTTGCCTAACTCACAGAAGGTATATTATAAGGGTAGAATGAGAGAATGAGTGTGAAAGTGATTTGGAAAGTATGAAGAGCTCCCATTGGTTCTAACTTCCAAGCCCATCTCCAGGGGGAAGGCAAGATGGGCACTCTTGATTCATCTCACAGGCTGAAGGTCAAGGAGGAATGGCTTAGGTTGGGAACTTCAGCAAGTCAGGTTGAGTCTCCCGGTTGCCTCTTTCCAGGGGATGTCATGGGGAGTATGGAAGCCACTGTGGTGTATGGCACAGAACACAACAGCACCTTCTTGGAATGCCGGCCCAAGTCACCCCAGGCCACTGTGCACTGGTTTGTGCAGAGACCCAAGGACGAACAGAATGACCAGGTAAGCACGGCTTCCACCCAACCACTCATCTCTCTCTCTCTCTCTCTCTCCCCACCACACACACTTCCTTTCCTCCTACCATTCTAGGCTTGTCACACGTCACACCCCCTTACACTCTATATGCCAGCCAGCCAAAACAGCTTACTTGCTGCTCCTCAAGTACTTAACATCCTATCTCCACACCTTTGTACAGGCTGTGATCCGTGCCTAAATACATGCCTTCCTTCAACCCTCAGAATCCCTCATGACCATTAAAACTCAACTTAAGTGCCATTTTCTACTAGACATATTTTCTGGAGCCCTTCCTTCTCTCCAGGTTCCTGGTTTTCACCCCTCAAAATTGCTTTACTTTGTATCTACTTTGCATTTGCTTAAATGAATACATATTGCTTTCCCTCAATGGAATGTAAGCTTCCTGAGGGCAGAGGCTGGTTCTTGTCTTTGTATACCCTGTGCTCAGCATTGTGCTTGGCACACAGTAGATGCTTAATATGCCTGGATGGATGAATGAATGAATTGCTGAGCTCCTTCTATGTGTTCAGCCCTATGTGGAAAAAATAAGAGAAGAAAATATGATACCTTCCCTCAAGGAAAACAAACTTGTTAGGAAAGGCAACATTTTAAAAACAATTATGGAATAGCAAAAGAATTAAGTATGGAAGTATGTGGGATAGGCTGGTAAGCACTGTAAAGTTACTTTTAAAAGAAGATTAGTGTAGACTGAAACATAATCATCAGAGAAAGTTTCACTGAGGTGTGACCTGAGTTGAGCCCTGAAAGATTTGAAAAGGTAGAAAGGTAATGGCATCCCTGGGAGAAGCAAGCATGTAAGTAAGGTGTGGAGGCATGATGGAACTTGTGTGTGTGTGTGTGTGTGTGTCTGTTGGGGGTAGGAGTGGCCCAGGGAGGTCTTTCTTTTTTTTTTTCTTCTGACATTTGTATTTTTTTTGTTAATTTATTTTGATTTATCAACAATCACTTCCATAAGCTTTTGAGTTTTAGATTTTTCTCCCCCTCTCTTCCCGCCTCCCTCCCCAAGATGGCACTCAATCTGATATAGGCTATATATATATACATTCCTCTTAAACATATTTTCACATTAGTGATATGGTAAGTAGGTATTAGAACCAATAGGAGGAACCACTAGAAAGAGGAAACAAAATACAACAGAAGAAAAAAATAGCAAATAGCATGCTTCGATCTGCATTCAAACTCCACAGTTCTTTCTTTGGATGTGGACAGCATTTTCCATCATGAGACTTTTGGAGATGTCTTAGATACTTGCATTGCTGAGAAGGGCTAAGTCTATCAACATTAGTCATTACACAAGGTGGCTGTTACTGTGTACAATGTTCTCCTGGTTCTGCTCACTTCACTCAGCATCAGTCCATACAAATTTTTCCAGGATTTTCTGAAGTCTGCCTACTCATCATTTCTTATAGCACAATAATAATTCCATTATATTCATATACCACAACTCGTTCAGCCATTCCCCAATTGATGGGCATTCCCTTAATTTCCAATTCTTTGCCACCACAAAAAGAGCTGCTATAAATATTTTTGTACATGTGTGTCCTTTTCCCATCTGTATGATCTCTTTGGGATATAACCCTAGAAGTGCTATTGCTGGGTCAAAGGGTGTGTACATTTTTATAGCCCTTTGGGCATAGTTCCAAATTCCTCTCCAGAATGGTTGGATCATTTCAGAACTCTACCAACAATGCATTAGTATTTCACTTTTCCTACATCTTCTTCAACATTTATCATTTTCCTGTTTTGTCATGTTGGCCAAAGTGGTAGATGTGATGTGGTACCTGGTACTTCAGAGTCATTTTGATCTGCATTTCTCTAATCAATAGTAAATTAGAGTATTTTTTCATATAACTATAGATGGCTTTAATTTCTTCATCTGAAAACTGCCTGTTCATATCCTTTGACCATTTATCAACTGGGGAATGACTTGTATTCTTATAAATTTGACTTAATTCTCTATATTTTTTAGAAACGAGGCCCTTATCAGAGACACTGGTGGTAAAAATTCTCTCCCAGTTTTCTACTTCCTTCCTAATCTTGGTTGCATTGGCTTTGTTTGTGCAAAAACTTTTCAATTTAACGTAATCAAAATTATCCATTTTGCATTTTGTAATGTGCTCTATCTCCTGTCTGGTAATGAATTCTTTTATTCTCCATAAATCAGACAGGTAAACTACTCCTTGCTCTCCCAGTTTGCTTATAGTATCAGGGAGGTCTTTCTCCTGGGTACAGGAGCAAACAGCCCCTAGATAAAGGAGTTTTTAACTTTTTTTGAGTCATGACCTCCTTTGGCAGTCTGGTGAAGCCTGTAAATGCCTTCTCAGAAGAGTGTTTTTAAATGTTTAAAGCAAAATACATAGGAGATAGACATAAACCAATTATGCCAAAATATAGGTATTAAATTAAAACACATTTAGGACCCCCAGGTTAGGAACCCCCTTCCTAGATACTCAAACTTCACGGTCTGGCCTCCTGTGTACAGGTTCTTTATCCTTTACCACACCAGCAGGTTTTCCCTTCTCTCTGTCCCAGGCTTGGAGGACCTTTGAAAAGGTTCTCCTCACCCTTACCAGTCCCTCTACCCACCCATCCCCCTTCTATACTAGGCCTGGGCCCCTGACTTCCAGGTCCTGGCGTTTTTCCATTGCCTGGTCCTGATGTTTCCTGCCAGGAGCCCAGCTGTCTGCCCTGACCCCCTCTTCTCTCCCTGCAAATCCGGAAGAGCCTGCTGGCCCTTGAGTGGGCTTCAGTCTGGTGCTCAGAGGGGCAGGCGTGGGTGGGATGAAGGAGCAATTCCAGGACTAGCTGAGCCTGCTCTCACAGGGTCTGGGGGAGGAGAGGGGAGGAGAGGACAGATTGATTACAGAAAAGGGAACCTCTGGGCTTGGGAATTGGGGGAGGGTTAGTGATGAGCCAGCTGGCACATTAGGGCACTGTGAGAAATTTGTAGGGAGTGGTGGCAGAGGGTAAGGAGTGGAACTTAGAAGGCTGAGCTTTGGGAAGAGGACTGAGAGGAGCGGCTGGGTGAGGCCTTTATAAAGGCAGGATCTTTCTTTGCAGAAACATGGTTCTTGAAAAGTCTGGGAAATACCACAGGCGATTACATAGGGGTACATCAGTGGCTGTCAGGTCACTGGGGCAGGAGTCTTCTCTGTCTTGTGGGGAAGCTAAGAGTGTGAACACCTGCTGTGGATTAGCCCTATGCGAGGCTACGGATTTGGAAAAAGAAGCCTAAAATACCTGAAATGACCAGCAACTAAATATGAATCGACTAAGTATTTAAACAAAGAATAATTTTGAATAATTAATTAGCTAAATATTAATCTGTGACTTAAAGTGCTACGGGAATTGTGAGGAAGAGTAGTTGTAATGTAGATCAGTGTGGGCTTGGAGTAGTTGGGAAAGGTTTCATGGAGGCAGCAGGACTAGTGATGGATTCGGAAGGACATCTGCTATTTCTATAGGCAAAAATAATGTCTTTCCACCCTTCTCACCGATCCTGTTCCCAACAGGTGAAGACAGATGAACGTATCCTACAAACAGAGCACGGGCTGCTATTCCGGAGGCTTAATCGCCTTGATGTGGGCACTTACTCATGTAAGACTCTGGAACACGGGTTCGTCCAGACAGTGGCCAGGCTGGCACTGGAGGTGATAGCAGCTGAACAGCTGGAGGGCCTGTTCCCCCGGGAGCATGGGGAAGAGGAATCTACTCCCAGGAATTCGGCTTCAGTCCCATCCCGTGCGTGGTACAAAGACATCCTCCAGCTCATTGGCTATGCAAATCTGCCCCGCGTAGAGGAGTACTGTGAGCGTGTATGGTGCAGTGACCGTTACCGACGCAAGGGGAAACACAGCAAGGGCAAGAGCTGGCAGGGGACCGAGCTGGGAAAGAAGGCGAAGAGCCGAGCCCAGGGGGAACGCAATCGGACTCCCCGCGAAGTGGAAGCTACCTAGGAGAGGAGGAGATAGCTGGGATGGGGAGCAGCACTGCCCAGCTCCCCTAGAGGGAATCCTCCCGGGCTGCCCTGCTTTCTGCTTCCCCAACACGTATAGCTGGGGCGGGGATGTCCAGAGCACAGACTGACCACATAGTCTAGCACCCCATCTTTCACAGGGAAATAAATCTCTGGCCTCCCAGTGCCTAGTAGGCAGGAATCCAGGGCTTGAGTTCTGGAGATCCCCAGGCTTCTAATGAGGATGGGAGGCCCCTTCCCTTAACCCTCTGTGCCACAGCCCGCACCCCTTCCTGCCAGTGTCGCCAGGGACCACCAAGCCCCAAGAGGCCTGCTCATATTCCACTGCCTTTGTTCTCCTTGGGAGGTGGGGCCTGGTTTTCCAAACACATTTCCAGCTGTGCCCAAAGATGAGGGCGGTTTTGTTTTTCTTTCTCAGCCTGTAAAACAATACTCATTCTGAACAACTGTTAGGGTACCTGGGCCAGAGGAACCAGTCTCATGTTGAGGTGGTGGCAGGTGGGACAAAAGACACTGAGACTCTCCCAGGGTTCAAGGTCTGGGGGAAGAGGACAAAATCAAAGACAGCAAGGAGGTCCATGGCCAAATGTTTCCATACTTGTTTAATATAGGAAAACTCATAGCAATGAGTTTCCATTAATGGAATCAAATCTTCCTCGAGGTGGGTGGTGGGACAGTAGAGACTAGCCTGGAAGATGGGGACGGGGGGAGGGGGAGTAGAGAAATTTGTTTTGACTCAATACCAGACATATCATAGATTTAGAGCTGAAAGGGACCTGTACAGACCATCTAATCCAATCCCTCATTCTATATATGAGGGAAACTGAGGCCCAGAGGGATTAAGTGAATTACTCAAAATTAAAAGTCAGGGTTTGAACCAAGGTCCTTAGAATCCAGAGCCAGCAACCTTTTCTACTGTACCACACCATTATATACCTTTGCTTCTATCACTGGCCTTTTTATCCACTTCCCTCATAGCTGAGGCTTGTGGAAGAGATGGGACAATAAATACCCTTCAGTCCTAGCAATCTAGGCTTCAAAGTTGAGAGTACAGGGATCCCACACTGCTCTCCATATCCCTGAGGAGTGCCATTAGAATGAAGTAACTGCTTTATCTGAGGCACTTGGTCCTTGTTTTCCCTCTGATAATTGGGGCACCATTTGGATGCCAGCAAGAGACAAGTTTCAGGCAGCAGAAGAAAGACCCAGTTCTGTTCTCACAGCTCAATATGAGTCATCAATATTACAAAAAAGAAAAAAAAAAGCTAATGCAATATGGGCTTGCATTAATAGAATTCAAGTACCCAGAAGAAAGGAGATCAAGGAATATAATAGTTCTGCTGCCCTTTGCCCTGGTTAGTCAGCATCTGGAATACTGTTTTCAGCTCTGGGTGTTATATTTTAGAGTGCACATGGACAAAGTGGAGCATATGCAGGGGAAGAATCTTGTTGCATGAAGAATAGCCAAAGGAACTGGAGATGTTTAACCTGGAGGCTTGGGGGCAGGGACTGGGGACAAGGGAGAGAAGAAGCATGGTCATTGTTTTTAAACATCTCAAGAACTGTCATGTGGAAAAAGGATTATACTTATTCTGTGCAGCTCCAGAGGCTGGAACTAGGATTAGTGGGTGGAAGTGCCAGGGAGATGGAGTTCAGATTTTTAATTTGATAACAGACTGACCAACAAGAAAGTGGGCTGCCTTGTGAAGTAGCTTTCTTGGGGATGTGCAAGCAGATGATCATGTCAAAACTGTTGTCTGCAGGGACGATGGACTGAAAAATCTCCAAGCTGCCCTATTATCGGGATTACCTGGTTTTCTGATGGCAAATTCCTGCTCCTTCCTTCAGCTCTCCCCCCTGCCCCCAACTAGGAGTTCTCTATGCTCTAGCATTGTTTTCTGTAGCAATGGCTAATGTGAACTAGAAAATTCAGGTTCTCCATTCCCCAGGATCAGGAATTCCTGGCAGAAAGATCTGGAAATGTGGGGGTTAGGGATAGAGTAGAGGGAAGGTAGGTTTTGGTTTTCCATTCTTTTTTTCTGGGAAAATGAGAGAAATGTCATTAGGTGTAGTAGAGGAAGGGGTGGCTGAGAACAAGTGGGAGCACTGAGTGTGTAACCTGGGGTTCAAGTGTAAGCACATGTATGGAACTAGGGTGGATTAGAGAGACGATCAGTCTCTGAGTTGCATATGACCTCTCTCCCAGAGCCTGGGGTCTGATCCCTCATACTGGGTCTCCATTTTTCAAGGCAAAGATTCAAATTCGGTGTCACAGATTTCACAGTCTGAACTGGTAGGCAGAGAGCCAAAGGAATACAGAGGCCCTAGGATCTCAGAGGAAAAGAGTGTGAGACCCATAGTAGGGTAATGACAAAGAAAAAGAAGCCCTCTCCAAGAGTGAGAGTCGGCATCAATAACTAGCCCAAAGAGTCTTCTCAGGAGCTTTGGGAGAAGCTATTATCAGCTGTTATCCTGGGTCTCTCTTCTGCTGGGCAGTGCTCCCAAGATGACATGGGGTGTGAGAGACAGCTTAAATAGGGTTTTTTCTAAAAGATGCAAATTTAGAGGGAAAAGTTAGGAACTCTAAATCCTGGAACAAGATGTCTATGTCTGGGACAAATACTACACAGAGCCATGGAAGGAGTAATGCAGCCCTAGGGTTGGGGAGTGGGGGAGGATTAAGTTGAAAAGACTGTTTTTATTCTGAGGATGAACAAACTAGTCAGTGATGCAGAAAAAGGGCAAATGGAGGGGGGATAAAAGAGCCATGGGTCTGACATTTCCTTCTCTTTGGAAAAAAAAAAAGTAGTGGGGTGGGGGGAGGTTTGCTCCTCTCCCTGAAACCCATATACCTTCTGTCTCCCATTAGATTTCAAAAAGAACCAACCTAAAAGGGATGAGACAAGGGCAGAGTCAATTAGACAATTCTCCCCTTCCTGCTGTGAATGTGGGAGACAGAGAAGGCAGGAAAAGGGGAGAAGAGAAAGTGTAAGGTAGAAAATGGTACTACCCCAAGGAGAAGCAAGAATGAGAGTGGGCCTGTAGCTAAGGCCATTTCAACCACCAATGAACAATCTACTCTATAAGTAGGGCCTCAGTCTTTGACAACTGTACTCATCTCATACTTTAGAGAGGTTAGTCAAGCCAAGAAGCATTTATTAAGTGCCTACTCTAATCAGGCAGGAGGACAGCATATGTAGCATATGTAGTCTTTTCTGCCAAATCTTGGTTTGGAAGCCTGTTTCTTTAAATATATCACATTGTTTCACTTGTGAATAAGTCCTGTAAATATGCCATATATTTGAATTTTATTTTTCTATGTTGGGATGGACCTTGTATATAGAATATGCTCTTTGCCGTTGGAGTATGTTTCTTATTTTTTTATAACTGTTATATAATTCTCCAGAAAGATACCTGTAGAAGACTACCATGCTAAACCTCTGGGGTTGGGGAGGTTAATAGTATTTATAATTTTGTTTCTGTGCATATACTGTTCTACTAGGGCTGCTCTTCGCATTTCAGTGGCCTGTGGATGGAGAGCTGTATGCTCTAGCCTAGGACAGGGGAGGCTGTAAAGAGTGGCTCCAGGTTTGCAAGGAGAAGCAAGCAGAGTGTTTTGTTTGTGGGAAACTAAGATTGTTCATTAAAATGGGAAAATCTATCCTGTGTATCTGTGAGACTGATCTTGGAACCTCAGGATGGGCCAGAATTCAAAGAAATGCTGGTAGGAGTAGAAGAGCTAGGCTTTTTGGTGCTTAATTTCTCACCTCCACTAGCTACTTATACAGTCAGAGCTGAGGCCTAGGATTACTGCTTTACTTTCTTCTCTATCCCTTTTCACCTTTTAATTTCAACTCAACGTTATTTTCCCACCTGGCTGCTCTACTTTGGGACTTTTCCAACTTCACCAATATGGTAGGCAGTTTAGCATTATAGAAAGAATACTGGATCCAAGCCACCAATTCTGCCTATGGGGTACAGGGATAGTGAGGAAATTGTCTTAACCAATGCAACACCAGCAGCTTCTCTGTGGCCTATAACAAAGGACTTGCCTAAGATCACATGGCCAGTGTGTGTCGGAGGTGAGACTTGAAGCCAGGCCTTCCAGCTTGCTTGACACATTATGCTACACTGCCTCTTACCATATATGCTGTTCCTGACTGTGCTCCATTTCTGCCACATGACCAAAGGAGAACCATTTAACCTCAGTTTCTCCAGTTGTGAAATAAAGGAGTCAGGCTGGATGATCTCTAAGGTCCCTTCCAGCTCTGACAATTCTCTATACCATACTTTTTGTCTCTTGATTTTCCTTGTGAGCATACCCCCTTCTTTTACACCACATTAGGTTTAAACCTAAAGACAACTGTGTCAGTGACTTGTCTTTTACTCTCATCTTCTGTTTTCTGTGCTGCTCTATGTCCCCTCCCCATACCCTTATCTAAAAACTGTCAGACCTATATCTTTAATTTTGGTTCTGGGAGAACTGCGTAATAAAGTTACTGCCTTGCTCCTCATCTCTGTCCTGCGTCCTCCAAAGAAGCCCCCTACCTCTGCCCCCAGCATGTAGTATTCAAGACATTTTCTGATAGGCCATCTGTTCCCTTTGGCATGGTCCCCTTTGCTGGTACTCATCTCAAACCTACAGGCTTCTCTTCACTTTAACTGATTAAGTTTCTGGGATCAGGAAGTAGAATTTGAAGAGAAGGAATTCTTCAGCGTGTTTAACTTTCCCAATATCCCTGTGTCCTCCGTTTTATACTTTTAAACCTGGGGCATATGAGGCACTGTTCACCCACTTCAGTCTGGGGTGAGAAGTCAGATTATAACAGACAGAAGCAGCAGGTGGGAGGGAGCATTCCAGCGGTTGGGAAGTTTTTTCTGTGGCATTCCTTCTTGGAAACAAGACAGCTGTTCAGAAATGGCCTGTACTAGTGGGGAAAGCACCAAGACTCCCATCTGACTCGGGCATCCATTATTCTCTTTCCTCCTTGGGCCTCTTTTCCTGACCCATTGCAACACCTATGGGCTACAGGTGCTCCTGTCCTATGGTAGGAAGCAGGTAAAATGCCAATCCATTGAGAGCCCTCAGTCTCCTGCAAATTTGGCTTTGCAGTTGCCTGGAGGGTGAGGCCAATGCTGGAAACAAATGGGGTGATAAGGGGTTCAGAACTGTTCTTGAATCTGGCCTAATGGCCCCATCCATTTGCCTGTTCCTAAGCCACATCCCCAAGCAGGGCACCGTGTGGCCGCTAAATGGCATCCTCTGCCTGTTGAGGTTTAGGGATGCTGGGACCCCAAAATAGCAACACCATGGGTCCTATCCAAATGAATTCGACCCAAGCCTTCTTTCAAGACAAAGACACGGTTTATTAAAGATTCAACTTACTGACCAGACTCTTAAGGAATCTGAACATTATTGACAAATTGGTTAAAGTGAACTTCAGCCATTGGCTACATTTTAAGAATATGAGCACCTTAATGGAGACAAGAAGGATTTTATATACAGAAAGACTGTGGGAGGGATCTAGGGGAGGCCAAGTAGTTTGGGGTGACTGGAGGAGGGGTCTGGGAGAAGTGGTCTAAAGAGGATCATGATGGGAGTGACTGGGAGGCAGAATGGATTCTAGATAGGATCAAGGGTGGGAAGTGGGGGGGGAGGGTCGGGACGGGGACGACAGGACGACCCCCTATGGGGAGGTAACTGACAAAGAGGGCTGGGCAGGGTCAGAGGTAACAGAATTGGGAGATTGGGTTTAGCCACAATTAAAATTGAGGG